GGGGGGGAGCCGGGGACACAGCCCACACACCGGAAAAACAAAGTCATGTGCTGTACAGAGGCAGGGAAGGCTTCAAAAATCTAGTTGGTATGGCAGTCCCTTTATGTATTCCGTAACTCCTGTATTATTCCTATTAATTTATTAATTCGGTCAGAAGAGAATTGGACAAAAAGGACTAGTTAAAAATGTGCTAAAAGTATATCATCCTTGCTTTCTGTCCAAAAGGCTTTGATCAAATTCTCTTGGAGCGATCGGCCCCATTCCTCTGGCTCAGCAGAAGGCCTATGTCACTGAAGGAACACTTCGCACCCACACACTGCATGGGCCCAAACAGTAGCCCCATCAGAAAAAAGAACTTGCATTGTGGCTCTTCCAGACAGAGGGGAGGATGACTACTATATGTTTCAGACACAAAAGCATTCTTCTCGTCACTTCTTATAAACTTTCCAGAATGTTAAATGCTCCCTACTGTTAGTCTCGCGAGTACAACCCCCTCTTGCTCAGGTCTCTTGTCACCGTCACAGCACCCACCAGTTCGTTGCTGCTCTCTGCATCTCCCGGGTCCTGAAACCTTCAATCTCCTAACGAGTCGGGAAGGGAGGCACTACTATGACCTCCTCTCTCTGACAGCAAGCCCAGAGGCAGGGCAGTGACACAACCTGCCCCTGGGTGACCTGGCCTGAGAGAAGTGGCTATGGGAGCTAAGGGAGGGGATGAACCAGTCTACGGTGCCAGGGCCATGGGCCTGAGGCTCACTGAATGGCCCTAGCTTCTGTCTTTTAAGGCTGGTGCCCAATTTCATAATTGTGTAGTCTTCTTTTTTTGATGGTAGACTGTTAGCTAGCTCTTTGTCTATATGGCTGTCAGGAGCATGCCATGTGCTTCTAATCAGCTCACAACATTAAGAGGTGGGAAATCCTGCCTGTGTTTTACACAGAAACACTCAGGGTGCTGAGTTAATTCACCGATGTTGGGTGGGTGAGGCCACTGGACTACTCTCAAATGAGTGAATCATACACATGACAACAACTGTGAGAGCTTTGTTTCTTAGAAAGATCATCATTCACTTCTAGGACCTCAGTGGCATTTTCAGAGGCAAGGCTGCCAAGCAGCTGTGTAACAGTTAAGCATTCACTACTGGGTTAGTGGAATCGCTGGGGCTTAGGTTCCACAAAGACCCTGGGTTGAGTGACAGCTGGCCAGAGTCAGATAGACTACCACAGGCTCGGAGGGAGGCAGCCTGACAGGTGGCCCCGAACAAGTACCTGTACTGAGACCAGCAATGCCATGTGTGGTCAGGACCATGAAGGTCCGCAGGCCTTTAGGGGTTTGTGAACTAGGGGAACAATGCCTTGATTAAAGATATTGTATACAAAGCACCCAGCATGTAGTTAGCCATCAACAAATGATATTTAAAAGCTTATCAAAATTACAAGTAATTTTGGTATTTAGACTCACTGTTCCTCAACTGCCACTTCCTTTGCTGCAACTTGTTCGTTCTCTTTCTCTCTGGCAATTTAATTATATCTATACTCCTCACCCCAAGGGAACTCTTTCTTAAAGGAATGAAAGAAAATAAACCAAGTATATGGAAAAAGAAATTCTAAAAGGCTGATTAATATTATTATTTCAAAGTACTCCAAGTGTGGACATGGGTCAACCCAGCACCCTTGCCTTGTTCGTTCAGAAGTGTGTAGAGACATTTCCAGATGCGCCTAGCATGTGGTACTGTCACTCTGGTAACCAACAGAATGGACACGCACGTGTTCTGCGTTTCAGTGATTTCTTCATGCTCATTTTTAATATAGTGTTGACAAGTATAACCATAGAAGCAAAAGATCTCTGGGGCCTCCAATCATTTCTGATGAGCAAAAACAGTGCATCAGACGAATCACTTTGGGGTAAGGATGAGAGCATTCAGATGAAAAAATGACCCACATACGGCAGAACAGTACTAGCGGGGATCAGGAGTGGCCACCAGCCAAACCACGCGTAGGAAGACAGCAGCAAGCCTTGGTGGCTGTTTGGGCTTATGTAGAGAAGACGGGTTAGGGGAGACTCAGTTGGGTGATTAGGTAGAGGGCCACACAGCCAAGAGCAACAGGGTATCAGAGAAGAGGGCAGCAGGCAAACTCTGGCCTCTCAACTCAACAAATCAACTGTTCCACAAATTTCTCCAGACCCTGCAGCTCAGCGCTGGTGCCTGTCTCCTCGCCGATCACAACAGGGCACTGTCATCGCTGACAAAACCGAAGCCGTGCTGCTCACCGAGGCCAATGTTTCCCAAAAGCATCAGAAGAGCAGAGAGCAAAGAGAAGCGCAGCAAGGTCTCTAAAGGAGGCTGCTTTTCTCCGCCTCTCTGAAACGCTCTGTACTGAGGACACAGATGCTCTGGACTCGTGCACACGCTGTCGTGTGAAAGCTGGGGGCACAGCTCAGATGCACAAGTGGACGGGGAGAGCAAAGCAGGCCAACCCTCTTCCCCTGGTACCTGTGCCGACACCTACCGCCTTTCAGGTCAGCAGAGGCCCCCACATACTGGAAGTTATCCATATTAATGACATCAATGATGGGCGACACGACCCGGGTCCGGTCCTGGAAAAATGAGGAGAGCAACGATAAGGGCAGCTCTCACACACAGAAATCCGCCCACAAAGAGAAGGACACTGTGAAGACTCAACTGTCAGACTTACAGCTTTAAGCCTTATGGGGGTGCCCACCCCGACATCGGCGCACCTCTGCTCCCACTTTCACACAGACACGTGAAGCTCTGCGTGACAGCAGCTGAACGTCTGGCGGCACGGGGCAAACCACTGGCTGAGAGAGCAGTTCTGTGTCCTGGGCGGCTCAGGCATTATCCATATGCCCTACGGCAAAGCCCATGCCTACTTCCCAGGCCCCTCGCAGCTTTTCCTTACACCTAACATTTCCAACTGCAGGGAAGCGTTCATTTACACACCATCTCAACTTAATCTTACGGGAACCTCAGTCATTTGTTAGCGGCTGTCAGTCAGCCTCGGGAATGGAGAAGCAAGGATGAACTGATTGCTAGGATACCTACACCACAAAGAGTAGACACAGATTTCTAGAGGCCCAGGTGTGTCACTTGAAGACTATCAGTAGGATTCTGGCAGGAGGTAAACGGAATACATGGGAGACTTCCACAGTCCATTTGCCTAGAAATGATTTTTCCTAGAATGGGCCATTTCTTTGTGGCACCCTGTCATTTTTCTTGATTAAGGGTGTGTGGACACAGGCCTTTTAACTTCTTTGACCCCTTTCAATTAGAATAATTGAGCCTGAGAGACACAGTGAGACTTTGCCTCATGCTGAGCTTCAACAAAGGAATTGAGCCATTTAAGGTACCTGGTTAGCCAAAAGAAAGGCTGTAAACTGAATTAGTAAATGAATGGAGCAAAGGCAAGAGCATAATAAATCAGAGGGAAAAGAAAGAGAGCATCTTGAAGCTCCAACACCACCCAGCTGAAAATTTTCAAGGAAAACTAAACCTTGTAGTGCACTGAGAACAGAGAAACAGCACAGCGGGTCAGAAAATATGGCACTTAAAGAAATGGAAGGGAGGTTCAAAATCTTTCCGCTATTAAGTATCTATCATATGCCAGACATTCTGTTAAATTTTGAGGATAAGCAGAATGAATAACAGATTTCTTGCTCTCAAAGAGCTCACAGTCTGGCAGGGAGACCAGATTAATCAATGCTAATCTCTCCAGCAGAAGCCCTGAGCTGTGGTGCTCAGAATGATCCGATAAATGCGTATATTTGAAAGGGAAAGTATATACCCTCACCACTGGGCTGGGAGAGCAGAACTACATCTAAGTTTGAGGAGCTTCCAATGGAGCTGCATCAAGGACCTGAAATAGTAGGACACCGCTGGCTGGGCCAGTTTCAAGGAATACTAAAACTTCATTCATTCATTCATTTGTTCATTCTCATTCAACCGGCAGATACTCTGTTTCCACTCCTTGCAAAGCACCATGCTTGGTTATAGGACTAGAGAAAAAGAGGTGCGCTTGCTCACTTTGGCTAAATAAACTCCTAATGGGCTCTACGGAGAGAAGGGCTTAGCCAGTCTAGCCTGCAGAGTTAATGGGAGGAAGCCTAGAGCACTAGTTAAGCCTCAAATTCTGATACCTTTTGTGTTCATGGGGCAAAAATGGTCCCGCAATGTCAGCTATAAAGGGGAACAGCATTCTTGCCTGGCTCAGGCTGCACTTCGGCAAGGGGCCAAAGACACTACTCTGTATTTCCTTCTAAGTCCACTTCACTTATTTTCGTTTCTTTGCATAAGATTAGGCTTGATGAAAAATTAATATTCTTAATGTTTCTTCCATAATTTGGGAGATATTTTAAATCAGTGGTTCTCAACCTTCCCTATACTGCGACCCTTTAATACATACAGTTCCTCATGTGGTGGTGACCCCCAACCATAAAATTATTTTCATTACTACTTCATAACTGTAATTTTGCTACTGTTATCAATCGGGCGACCTCTGTGAAAGGGTTGTTCGACCCCCAATGGGGTCACGGACTCACAGGTTGAGAACCACTGTTTTAAATAGTTCTGAGAATCAAACTACTTAAGTGACCTTTCCAGACTTAATTAATTAACGCGCTCATGGTTTCTGTGTTGGCTGTGCTTGAAGCTGGTGGGGAAGCATTGGGCTGTTAACTGCTGAATCCAAACCTACTAGCTGTTCCGAGGGAGAAAGACGAGACAGTCCATTTCTGTAAACATTACAAGGCCTCGGACACCTTCTATGGGGTCATTGTGAGTTGGAATCGACTTGCTGGCAGTGAGGATTCTCAGTGGGAAGCAGCCTGTTGGAGAGTCAGTCAGGGTTGTGGGAGCTGCAGGGTGGGTTCTCCTTTTATACCGGTGTGTGAGATTGAATCACCCTACGGATGCAGTCAAGCCTGGTTTGAAATCCTAGCTCTGTCACTTGAGTGACTTTGGAGAAGCGGTTAAAGTTCCCAGAACCTCAGTTTCCTCATCTGACAAGTGGAAACAACGCCTCAATTAAAGATAATGCATACAAAGCACCCAGCATATAGTTAGCCCTCAACAAATAGTGACAAGCTTATAAAAAAATACTAGAAGCTTTGCTTATTGAGACTCACTGTTCCTCAACTGCCTTTCCCATTGCTGCTACTCTTTCATTCGATTTTTCTCTAGCAATTTCAGTAAGTCTACACTCCTCACCTTAAGCAAACCCTTTCTTACAAGGAACCAAACAAAATTAATAAAACAAGTATAAAGAAGAAGAAATTTTAAAAGGCTAAACTTGGTATTAATGATACTACTTCTAGAAGGCAGAAAGTAGCCAAAGTGTGGGCACGGGTCCTCCCATCACCCTGCGGTCACCATGGACTACCTACCCCGACCCAAGCCCACCTGGGCCTCACTTGGAAGCTGGGTTTGACTGTTTTCAAGGCCAGGGCAACAACACTGTGGGCATGAAGTTGCCGGCCTTCCTGAAAGGAGGGAGGCCGCCCCAGCACAGGCTTCCCTGGCACTCCCACTCGGGTGTGAGCAGCACACAGCAAACACCGCACTTGCTGGGTGTCAGGAAGCCTTGTCCAAGCTCTTTGCCACTTTTAAGCTCCTCCCTGGAGAACAGCAGCTGCTTCAAGCTACTCAATGTCTCAGTAGCCTCTGTAGGTCCTTGGCACGTACTTGTGATGTATCCCCCCACACTCCCACCCCCACATTTATTGCTACAGCAAATCAAATATTCTTGGAACACATGATCAAGAGGCATTGCTTGATCCTTTGACCCAGCATCAAGGAAAGGCACAGAGGGGCCCCGGCCTCACCTCAGCCACCCTCTCCAGGAGGGGTTCCAGCCAGCGCTCGTTGCACTCACAGTGACTGTCCAGGAATGTCAGGACCTTGGCCTGAGCAGCATCCGCCCCACGGACCCTCGAGCGCATCAAGCCTGTGGAGAATAATTCAAAAGCTAATCTGTCAGGAGAGAGTGGCCTCAACACCCACAGCCTCAGCACCCACACCACCCACTTCCATCTGGCAGCGCTCTGCCCCGCAGTCTGCTTCAACCTTGCCTGGTGGGACGAAAAGGCCCCGATGGGCACTTCTCTAAGCACCCTTTATCGGGGGGCTTTTATTTTTAAAAGGCAATTAGATGCTGGGAGAACAATCTTCTAAGAACTACTGTCTCTATCGAAAGGCTCCTACATAATTGAAGTCTCCTTTATCCAGCAACTATAAGGAAGAACTTTTTAAACCGCTTTCCTGACACAGCCACAGAGCTTTCTAATTAACTGAGCTCAGGAAGGAAGGTGTCACCCAGACACTTAAAATGCTAATAGTGCTGACTTTAACAGTGATAATTTAATGGCAGCAGTGTTGCAAATATCTTTGTCTTCTAAGACTTATCACAAATAATATAAATGACAAAGCCCATTGCCTGGCTTTTATACAAAATTAGTTACACTGCTGGTCTAATTATACAGTCTATACACTTCTGGTCTGTTAAGAATAAACATTTTCAACAACAAAAAAAGAATAAACATTTTCTATCATCACACAAAGCCTTATCATATATCATATATTTATATCTGGATGTGGTCATAAATGATTTTTGTTATATATGCTAAGCTTTATATATGCAGATGACACTACTATTCATAATCAGCGAGGACAAGTATTGCATGCTCTTTTTTTCAACCCTCAAAGTTTGGGAGTTGAATCCTTCCAAGAAAAAGAAGAACCCTGTTGGCACGGTGGCCAAGTGCTTTGCTGCTGTCCACAAGGTCAGAGGCTTGTGCCCACCAACCACACTGAGGGAGAAAGATATTGCAGGCTACTTCTGCAAACTTGCCCTGGGAACCCCATGAAGCAAGTCTACTCTGTCTAATAGTGTTGCTTTGGGTTAGATTAACTCAATAGTAATGGGTTTGGTTTAAATGGAGGTGGGGCTCGTTACACACCTCAGTTCTTCCAATAGAGCCCCCAGAAAGGTCAGACTTAGGAATACAGGTTATACTTCAGGACTGATGGTTTCACCAGGAGTTAATGGCCAATCTACCTCTCCAATTTCAAAGTGATACATCAGTAACTTAATTGCCACACAAACCTATGAGAAGCAAGATATTATGATCCGTACTCAAAAGGGAAAAAATATCAATAGAAACTTAACCTAAAATGACCCAAATGTTAGAATTAGCATGTGAAGTTTTAAAAGGAGCTATTATAATTATATTCAAGAACACGGAAGAAACAATGGTCATAATAGGGGAAACTCAGCTGAAAATTCTATAGCTGAAAAAAAAAATACAATGCTAAAATGAAAAATGAAGCATTTTAGTCTAACAGGAGATTGGATATGCTAGAGGACCAAGGAACTTGAGGATGAATCAACAGAACTTACCATATATACTCATGTATAAGCCGAGTTTTTCAGCACATTTTTAATGTGCACATGCATGATAGCAAAGTTTTAAAGTACGTGAAGCAACTGCTATCAGAATAAATGGGGGAAATACAGGAAGTCTCCAAATTATGATGCATTCACATTACAGTGAACCAAACTGGTATCTGGAACATTGCATACTCCTAGGAAGAAGTTATGGGAAATGATGCATGGAAAACAGAAGAAATTGTTTGGTTTTGTGAATGGAATCCAAGCACTTAATGAGGGTAATACAATGGGAAAGACAGTGAAAGAACCACCGATAGAGCAAGAGCGATGAATTTCGAACTTGATGTTACTGATGTGCTAAGAACAGCTCATCAAGAATGAAGGAGAACGGACAGATCAGATCCTAATAGATTTTGAAGAGGAAAGAAATGCTGAGGACCAAAGAAATAATGAGGAAGGGAAGGAGAGAAGTTTTAAGTTGTTTTTTTTTTCCAGTGAAAGGATTAGCTGGAGTTGTTTGTTTGTTTGTTTCTACACTAAAGCAGAGGCTTCTGTTGCTTGAAAACTTGGGTCCAAATGTCTACTTGCTTTGCTATAGTGGATAGGCAGATTTGGGAAGCAATGAGACATTATCATGAAACAGATGAAGGAAAACTAAAAGGACCACGCAGACATCTCTCACTAATTTTCTGCCTATAAACACCATGCTCATTCTCAGGGACAAAATGATCCAGAACCTACCACCAGTGGAGTTATTACCACAACTGACAAACTGCCAACCCTGTCCAACTCTTCATTATTAGAGTAAATATTATGATTTCTGCATTTATTAAGATAGATCATTAAGTTTATATTGAAAAGGCATTCGACTGCGTGGACCATATGGATAGTATTGAGAAGACTGGGAATTCCAGAATACTTAATTGTGCTCATACAGAATGTGTCTGAGTATTACTGGTATTGTGTAGCAATAACAAATATTTGGCAGCAATGAACACCAAGTTCCCTGATAGGATTCCTGCCCAGCAGACCTTGTGTGCAAGTAGAAAGGAAATTTGAAGTGCACAGTATTTCACTGTCCAGGAGGGACGATGGGGACACAGTCTTCTGAGCCTCATATGTGCTCAGTAAAGCAGAGACAAGAGCTGGAATCAGGGTGCTGTGGACAGGATGCTCCCTAGAGGGTCCTAGGTACCCAAATGGGACTGAGGCTAGGGTATTGGCAGCTTGTTTCCAGAAGGTGAGCTGCCCACAAGGCTGTGAATGAAGTGGGACCCCAGGGTCTGGTCTTAGCTCAGATCATTTAGGGACCACAGGAATGGGCTGGGTTATGGTCAGAAGCAGTCTTAAGATGGGGCACTCAAGTGCCTGGGTCTGTGGAACCCTATGGGAACTGACATCTACCCAGCCCTTGAGCTTCCTTGATGCCCACTCCTGGGCAGGCACAGGTGAAGAAAGCTGATGGTCCCCAGCTATCAAAAGAAATAGCGTCTGGGGGCTTAAAGGCTTGAAGGTAAACAAGCAGCCATCTAGCTCAGAAGCAACAAAGCCGACGTGGAAGAAGCACACTGGCCTGTGCAATCACGAGGTGTCGAAGGGATCAGGTTATCAGGCATCATTAGAACAAAAAATCTTACCATAGTGAATGATGGGGGGAGTGCGGAATGGAGACTGAAAGCCCATTTGTAGGCCACCGGAGATACCCTTGCAGAGGGGTCTCGGGGAAGAGACGTGCCAGACAGGGTGCGATGTAGCAACAATGAAAAATACAACTTTCCTCTAGTTCCTAAATGCTTCCTCCCCACCCCCCCCAATATCATGATCCGAATTCTACCTGGCAAGTCTGGCTAGACCAGAGGATGTACACTGGTACAGATAGGAACTGGAAACACAGGGAATCCAGGGCTGATGATCCCTTCAGGACCAGTGGTGTGAGTGGCGATACTGGGAGGGTAGAGGGAGAGTAGGTTGGAAAGGGGGAACCGATTACAAGGAACTATATGTGACCTCCTCCCTGAGGGACGGACAACAGAAAAGTGGGTAAAGGGAGACATCGGACAGGGCAAGATATGACAAAATAATAATTTATAAATTATCAAGGGTTCATGAGGGAGGGGAGCGGGGAGGGAGGGGACAAAAAGAGGACCTGATGTCAGGGGCTTAAGTGGAGAGCAAATGTTTTGAGAATGAGGAGGGCAATGAACGTACAGATATGCTTTACACAATTGATGTATGTATGGAGTGATAAGAGTTGTATGAGCCCCTAATAAAATGATTAAAAAAAACAAACATTTTACTATAAAAAAAAAAGAGCCCCCGGTTAAATGATTTTATATTAAAAAAAATTGGAGGAAGACTGATTAACAACCTGTGTTATGCAAAGGATACAACCTAGCCTCCTGAAGGAGAAGAGGGCTTGAAGCACTCGCCGACAACCTTCTTCAGTGTAGATTCTACATCAACATGAAACACACAAAATTCTCACAACTGGACCAATAAGCAACACCACAATAAATGGAAAAAAGACCGACTTTTTCAAGAATTTAATTTTATTTGGATCCATCATATAGCCATAAAAGCAGTAGTTAAGAACTCAAACTGTCTATTGCAATGGGAGAATGAATCCACTCTAAAGGAGCTATTTAAAGTGCTAAACAGTGAGGATGTCACTTTGAGATATTTTAAATTTCCTCATATGCATGTGAAAACTGGATCATGAATAAAGAATTCTGAAGAAAAATTGATGCATTTGGATTATGATTTTGATGGAGAATATTGAAAATACCATGAACTATCAGAAGAATGCATAAATCTGTCTTAGAAGAAGTATACTCAGAACATTCCTTAGAAGGAAAGATGGTAAAACTTTATCTCATTTACCTTGGACATCTATCAGGAGAGACCAGTCTGGAAAATGGTGACACCATGCTTGGAAAAACAGAGGGTCAGCAAAAAGAAGAAGACCCTGGATGGATGGCTGCAAGAACAGGCTCAACCAGGACCAGGACTGTCCAGGGCTGGGGAGTCTCACGCTATAGTACCCATTGCTTTGAGGTGTTGGCATCTAACAACAACAGATAAAGCAGTGCTCAGACAGAAATTTCTTGCTTAAAGTTTTCTATTAAAAAAGAAAACTAGTAACCTTTAATTATACCTTCAATAGCTAGAAAAAGCAAAGCAAATAAAACTCAAAGAAGAAAGAAGGAAATAAACCCTGGTTCTTTTAAAATATTAGCAGTCAATGAATGTTTAGCTAACTCATCAAGAAAAAGAAAATATAAATGACATGAAGTACTGAAAAAGGAAATATTGATAGTGTTTGATATTACAGATAATACAATATGAGGGAATATCATAAACAACTTGTGCCAATAAGTTTGAAGTTTTGATAGAATGCGAAAAAAAATCTTGAGTGACACAAATTTCCAAAACTGACATAAAAGAAGCCGAAAATCTAAATTGCCTTATACGTCAGAGAGACACAATTCACAAAGATAACTCCTTTACTAAATGGCATCACTGGTTAACCTGTCAACATTAAAGGAAGAAATAATTATATTATTATATAAAATATTTCAGAAAACAAAACAGCAGGGAATCTTCACCTTGGTTTGAGGTCTATTTTATAAGCTCGATTTTAAAACTTAAAACATCCACTACGTATAAGAAAATTCCCAACCAATGTTTTCATGAATCTAGAAAATATGCTTAAGAAAAAATTAGCAAATAAAATTCAGTATTATATAGAACTAGGAAAGTCTATAGACTAGCCAAGTGGGACTTGAGTCAGGAATGTAGATTGGTTTAACATTTGAAAATCAGTCAATACTTTTCACCACATCAAGACTAAAAGAGAAATACCATCTGATCATCTAACTAAATGCATTTAAAAAGATTGAATTCATTGTGAATATGGTTCTAGAAGGCCCTATAGCTGCCATTATATGGCTGTGGTCTTGAGCATATCATTTAAACTCTCGGGACTTTATCATTTTCATTATAAAATGAGATTTACGAGTTAAGCCTTAAACCTTCAAAGTGCACGAAAATCATCTAAGCAGCTTTCCCCAGTCCCCTAAAATACACATGACCAAGTCCCAATCCAGAAATACAAAAATTTTTATTTAGTTGACTGTGAGACCAACCCATGATGTTAAATTCCCCTTAATGATTCTCTGGCATATAAAATTCCCAGCACTAATATTCATTTCTTGAAGACTGTTCATTCACTATCGATTTTCAGGGAAGACAGTTACCTACTCGTCTAGTAACATCGCTAGCAGTATTTGTGCTTCTGCAGAAACATACGCGCTCTAAAAAGAAAGAGAGCCCTGAGAAAGGATTACGTGTCTGTGCGTATTTTCTCCTCAATTAATTCTAATTTCACTTCTTCCGTATAGATCTGACACCATCTGGCTTCCCGTAAGTCCCTTCTGCTCTCTTCTCTCTAAAAGGAACACACAAACGAGTTCTTAATTCAAGTGCACATCCTCACTCACACAAAGGGCGGGTGATATTAGAAGTCCTGCTGTGCTGCTCTCTCATAAGGTGAGTTGGTGATGTGTCCACTGTAAGTTGTCAACCTGAACAGAAAGTAATCTTTCTTTTCTTCTTTTTCTTTTTGCATCCTTGTCAGGTGACGACATGACAGACATTTTGGGTCTAAATTCACAGTTATTTATTTAGGCTTTTAAAACAAAAATAACACAGTAGATCCCAAGATTTTGGTTTATTCTAAGCTTAGGAGACTGATGTTTGTCCAACAAGAAGAACGTGCTTAGGGACAAGGCCCGTCTCATTGCGTAGGCGTCCTGAACAACAGGCTTGATACGAAGATTGATGATGACAGTATCTACAGAGACTCAATCACACTTTGGGTTAATTAGATTTCTAGTCGGAAAAAGATGTTACATTTGTACCACCTTGACTGAGGAACATAGCCACCACTCTAGGATCAATGTCACCCTCAAATAGCAAAAATGACACCTGTTTTATAGCTGTGAAACATTCCCACACTGGAAGATTCCTGCAGCCCACAGGGGGTGGGGGGCCCAGACAACTGGCATTAAGCTCCCACCAAACCTGCTACCAGCAGCACTGAGCACCAATTACCTCATGGTTTTAGCTTCCTCTGTCAATAATTCCAATAACACTTTTCCCTTTAGAACCTCTCTGACAAGTGCCAATAAAGTAGACCAAGAGAGCCCACCTTCAGCATGGAGGAGGCTGACAGCAGTTTTGAGGTTGACGTTTGCAAAACCTGCATAAGCATGTAGTTGCAGTGCGCTTTTCCTCCGGGGGGCTGTCAAACTCAAATCCCAGTTACTTTATCTGTTGCCTGGAGCAAGGAGCCAATAAGCTCATCATGAAAAGTCTCCGCTTTTCTTCTAAACTCAGAATACTCAGGACTCATAAAGACTTCCAAGGTTGTGAAAGAAAGAGAAGAGCCAATTGCTCAGATACATAAATTAGAATGGGCATTGAACTCTTGCCTTAGAGTACATACATGTCAATTAGCTAACTTTAACACCGTTCCCAAGTCAACTCTCATTTATAGCAGATACACCTTAATAGATGTGCTTTTTATAATTTGTAGTGGTTAATTCTGATTTTTAGCTGAAACAATTCTTTATTACTGGGCTCAGGAAAACTCGGAATTCAACTGTCTTAGTACTGAAGAAACAATCTTACCTTCTCGTCGATCATTTCTAAGAACTCGCACTTTCTCAATTTTTCCCAAGAGAGCCCCGTCCTCAGCTAGGCAAAAGAAAGAAACAGAACAAGTTGGTACTTAGATTCTAACTAAGGTGGTTTGCATTCAAGCAAAGTAATTCTTGATTACTGAAGTGCTGATTGCCTCGTCAGGAGCACTCCAGCACTCTTTCTTTTCGGACCTGATTTCTGGCCTCTTACTGTTCATTAGCACCACAGGCCAGGAAGGCCGGCAAATAAACACCATGGCATGAGGGAGATACCATACTTACGATCATTGCTGTAGTCATCCACCAAGATGATTTCTTTTATGAGGTGGGGAGGGCTTTTCTTAAGTACACTGAGAAAACACAAAATAATACAGGTTGTCAGGCTTTTGTGGGAATAAACTGGAGGTAGAAGAGCTCTTAGAACTTTATGCTAGTCCTTGAAGAGTCACCCACACTCCCTTGTCTGAAACAGTTGGTAAGCCTTGTCTGAAACCACCCACCGAAAGCCCTAGTCTGACTAAGCCTTGATGCGTGCCATGCCAAGTATCCAACAGGTAGTTGAGTCTTCAAAGCTGCATAGGTGGGCAATGAGTGGCATTCCTGGCCTTACCTGACCACAGTCCTCAGCAAGGCTGACCTGGCTTCATTGTGAAATGTGATCACCACACTGGTGGCTGGGAGGCCCACCCGCCACTGCTTCCGCTGGCACCTGAATGAAGAGTAGAGACAGAGTCTGAATAATGGGCCCAGAGACCTACCAGAAGACGGTGGGATAAGCAGATCAAGCTGTTCAAGTCTGCGGTTCACTTATTAATTGTAAAAGTCAGTGTTGTGTATGAGAAAAAGTGCTACGGAGACATAATGAAACAGACAAACAACCAGATTTCAAAGAAAAGTAATACATTGTGAATATGCTTCTAATGCATTAAAGGGGGAAAAACTTTAGAACAGTGAAATCTCATTTATATCCATGTGTAACTAGATCTTAATGCATGTTTTACAATTTGTAGTGATTAATTTTGAATGATGGAACCTAATATATGTCACCACTTTTAATTCTGATTGTCTACTGCCAATATGTAATATTTATGATTGGGGGTACTTGGCATTCACAAAGGAGGCCTAGTGGTATAGTAGGTTAGGTGATGGGCAGCTAACTGCAAGGTTGGTGGTTCAAACCCAGTAGTTGCTCTGTGGGAGAAAGATGAGGCCCCTGATACTATAAAGATTTAAATTCTTTAAAACCCTAAGGCTCAGTTCTAGTCAGTTAAAGAGCTGCTATGAATCAGAACCAACAGGATGGCAGTGGGTTTGGCTGGCTGGTGCTGTACCAGGCACGCCCGCCCTAGTGCCCACATTTCTTTATCCCGAAGAGCAGAGATGCCTTTCCCTCCTGTGTCAGGCCATCCTGAAACTCCGTAAACAATTGTGTGCAAACTGAAGTAGGGGTGAAGGTTTGGACCAATGGGACTTGGGCCTGTCACCTCTCTCTCTCTGTAGACTTTGAACAAAATTGAAAAGAACTCTGAGGTTACCTCTGAGGAAGGCTGATTCAGGGGCTTGGCTCATTCAGTATGAGCAGATTACAACAGTGTACTTTAGAAATGTGGTCTCCGTAGACAAAGCCCAAACTGGATGGGCACTGAGCAGCTATTTATAAAAATCAGAAC